TTGGCGAAATTGAGATTGCTCTTGGGCAGCTTAAAAATGGAAAAGCCCCTGGAGAGGATGGTGTTACAACAGAACTCTTGAAAGCTGGAGGTAAACCCGTACTGAGGGAGCTCCAAAAGCTTTTTAACACTGTCCTGTTCGAAGGGAGAACTCCGGAGATGTGGAGTAGGAGTGTGGTCGTCTTGTTCTTTAAAAAGGGGGACAAGACCCTACTCAAGAACTATCGACCCATATCCCTTCTAAGCCACGTCTATAAGCTGTTCTCAAGAGTGATCACGAACCGTCTGGCGCGAAGACTTGATGACTTCCAACCACCGGAACAGGCTGGATTTCGGAGCGGATACGGCACCATAGACCACATCCACGCAGTACGGCAGATTATACAGAAGACTGAAGAGTACAATCAGCCTCTGTGCCTAGCATTTGTGGACTATGAGAAGGCCTTTGACTCGATTGAAATCTGGTCTGTCCTGGAGTCCCTGCAGCGTTGCCAAGTCGACTGGCGATACATCCAAGTGATTAGATGTCTCTACGAAGCCGCCACCATGTCTGTCCAAGTACAGAATCAGCAAACAAGTCCCATACCGTTGCATCGTGGAGTGAGACAAGGGGACGTTATTTCCCCGAAATTGTTCACTAATGCAATGGAGGATATGTTCAAGACGCTGAACTGGAAAGGACATGGCATCAACATCAATGGCGAACGCATCTCTCACTTGCGATTTGCAGACGACATCGTCATCATGGCAGAAACCCTGCAGGACCTACAAAAAATGCTGAATGACCTAGCTGACTCTTCCATACGCATCGGCCTACGGATGAACTTGGATAAAACCAAGGTCATGTTCAATGAACATGTTCTACCGGAACCGATTGCAAAACACGGTGCCGTTCTCGAAGTTGTTCAAAAATATGTATACCTCGGGCAGACATTGCAGTTAGGTAGAAACAACTTTGAGGACGAGGTGAATAAAAGAATTCGGCTGGGTTGGGCAGCGTTTGGGAAGCTACGTCAAGTCTTGACATCGTCGATCCCACAGTGCCTAAAGACGAAAGTCTTCAATCAGTGCGTCCTACCTGTGATGACATACGGAGCCGAGACGTGGACACTGACGGTACGGCTGGTCCACAGGTTCAAAGTCGCTCAGCGCGCTATGGAAAGGGCTATGCTCGGCGTTTCTCTGAAGGATCGCATCAGAAATGAGGTAATCCGACAGAGAACCAGAGTTATCGACATAGCCCACCGGATTAGTAAGCTGAAGTGGCAGTGGGCTGGCCATATTTGCCGAAGAACCGATAACCGTTGGGGTAGACGAGTTCTGGAGTGGAGACCGCGTCTAGGCAAACGTAGTGTAGGACGTCCTTAGGCACGGTGGAGTGACGATTTGCGCAAGGTGGCTGGCAGGAGCTGGATGCGAGTAGCCCAAAATCGATCTGAGTGGCGTGCAATTGGAGAGGCCTATGTCCAGCAGTGGACTAGGATAGGCTGTTGATGATGATGTTGATGAATCAAATAAAATAGATGGGAGGTCCGGCTGAGCGTCAAAAGACATTGAAATCTTGAAGAGTATGAAAATATACCTGGAAATTTAACCTGAAGAAATCTACCTACTTAATCATGGCTGGATTTGGTACTTACCTGGACATTTACATGTTTCTACGAAAAGGGGCAATTTCGGACTGCATTTTGCTTGAAATTTCGTAAGAAGATTCTGTTTTTTTTTTTAATTTTGCAAGATCTCTCACTGTCAACTTAAATCGTAGATGGACCGAAGCACACAGGGTGCAAAAAACATTCATGAAAAAGCATATGAGCTGGTTAGAAACAAGAATTAAGTGGCCTGAATGCGAATCCGTGAATCTCTCCGAAATTTTTGAAGAAGCCGAAAAGGACAGTGGGCAAAGCGCACCCAGCTCCGCCAACAATGTAATTAGTATGAATCGATAGATCTATGAAAAACTAGTCTTTTTTATTATGACACCGAAAATAAATATCCTGGGAGTCAAAAGATATGACACCGTAAAAATATTCTGGTAGTCAATAGATATGACACATGGGCATATTTAAGTAGCTGAATAAATTCATTTTATACTACCTCCATTTTCTATTATTAGTAATCATAATAATATGCCATATCGTACTATACAACCAGATATACGACAAAGCCTGCCGACCATCCTGCGTTTGCTCTTACTGAGACACCTCAAAACGGTTTACGGGGGTTGAAGGACTTGCAGTTGCAAATAGTCGACTCGCCTTACTTCGTTGTTATTGCGCGCTTCCGTCACTTGATTGATTTTTATCTAACACGCTTTGGACATTGTAACACAATTATCGGTTTTATCAATTAGTATGGATGAACTGGAATCATGTTTTCTCCGAAGTGTGGACAAGTTTTTGTGATTTGTGGTCGCTCTGTTTTACATAGAACACAATTTACTTTATCGAACAGAATGTTTGGAAAAACCCCAACCCAAGCGGGAATTTTTGGATTTACTCTAGCGCGGCAGAATCACATAAGGGTATACCCTTGCACCTTGTGAAGTACTCCCATAATTCCTGAGCACCCTATGTAGGGTCGAACTAACTAACTAAATTAAATTCCCTTGTTTCATTAATGTTCGTTTGTTATAGTACTTGTACATATTTAACTTAAAATAACTAAAGACCCCCGGGATGGAATTTCATGCGCTTTGGCACAGACGATCTTGATTATAATACCTTTCAAACAAATGTAGTTTAAGCCGTGGCGGACGTGGGTACAGCGTCCATACATCTTTGCCCAACGTCCTTTGAATATTGTTCCACAGAAGAAGAAGCAGCTGTTTTACCCTTTGCATCTACTTCGAAGGCGACTATTGACATGGGCACTTCTACAGACATCGTATCAAGAAAGCCATTTGAAGACCTAGAAAACAAGCAGAAGAAAAGGCGATCGGGTACAATACTTGACTATCCGGAAGAGGAACTGACTTTTGCTTTTATCACAACACTAAAGTGTAATGGAAAAGAAGTTTTTGCTCGCATCATCGATCATCTTATGAAGAAGCCTGAAAAGGTTGGAGTTGTCGAATCATTTTTATTTATGAACGAAAAGAAGGAGACTATGCAGGAAGATCAAGTTTTGACCCTAACTACTTCATTGGATCTTTCAAAGTGGATGTACCTCACTTTAAGGTCTGCATTGTCACAACAGTTGAAGCTTCCGTCTTACCACAAGTTGTTAGAAGCTAAGAAAAGGTGTTTTCCAAATGCCAGAGATATTATAATATCAGAAGATGGAGCGAAGGTGAAACTGCAAGCACTTTTAGATGTCACAACTCGAAGGCTTTTGCAAATCGTTGGTGATGATTTAAATATTTCCAGTGGAAGCTTGAAGCAGACCAGCAAATGGGGATTTGATGTTTTTTCAGCACAGAGCAACTACAAGCAAAGAAGTGAAATGGCAGAATTCGACGACTCCTCTGTGTTCATGACGAGCCTCGTTCCCCTGAAGCTAGAGGCCGAAAATATTGTTATTTGGGATAATCCAAAGCCATCTTCAACGTTTTATTGCAGACCTACTAAATTTCAGTTTGCGAAGGAAACAACTGACCTTGTTAAGCAAGAACAAGCGGCAATGGAGGAAGAAAGACAAAAGGACAATGGGCAAAATGCACCCAGCTCCGCCAACAATGTAATTAGTAAGAATCGATAGATCTATGAAAAACTAGCTTTTTTAATAATGGCACCAAAAAAAAAAACCTGGGGGTCAAAAGATATACACCTGGGTATGTTCTATATTAGGGTTAAGGTTTCCGCACATAGTCCTTATAGACAAATGATCATGACTATGATACCTTTCAAACAAATGTAGTTTAAGCCGTGGTGGAGGTGGGTGCAGTGTCCATGCAATTTTGCCCATTGTCCTTTAGTAAGACGGATACGTCTACAATAAACAGAATGAGACTGGGCCATACGTCTGTGCCTTCCCATCTTGCCAAACTCAATATAATAAACGATCCTAGGTGTGACCGCGGGTTCGAAGAGGGAAATGTGGATCACATTGTGTTTTTCTGTCCTCTATTCCATAGAACTCAATTTTTCAAAGAATTATCATCCCTTCATATACCATTCCCGACTAATATAGCTACACTTCTTCATACCAATGACCTATCTGTGTATAAATGTATTATATCTTTTCTTTTACTTAATGATATAAAACTTTAATTGTAAATGTATAGAATTTCATGTATACATTTATTTTTACAATCCTGATCCCTTCCAAATCTCGTAATATTTCCGATTCTTTTTTCCCCATACCGTTTCCTTAAATTTTTTACTTGAAATTGGCTGAACGCACAAACCGTGCTTGCCACAAAAAAGAAAAAGAAGAAGAACCATCCCGCGCGACTTGAGTAAACTTTTACAAAATAACGACACCTACTGAACGCAGAAACCGTACATGCCAAAAAAAAAGAAAAAGAAGAACGATACCTACATTTCTCTATACAAATTTGTAAAAGCTACTGTCAAAACTCTTTAAGGAAGAAAAGTTTTAGACAGGGCTGTATGGACTGGATCCTTTGCCCATCCGAACAAATTGAACAAAAAAAAATTTGCGAGGTTTTTGGCGGGATTTGATCGAGTGTGGTTGGCGTCTTATTTTAATTATTCTTTAATTCGTTCATAGTGGATATTGTGAAATAAAATTGGTGTGATTTTGTGTTACAACTGTCTGCGTAACTGAAGAATTAGTAGAATCGTCAAAATATACGTTATTCCGGTCAAGTGGACGTGAGAATTTTATTGTAGTATTGACTACCTCACAGAAGCTTATCGAAAAAGCCAGCTCGATACATTTCGTGCCAAACACTTCTAGAAACATTAGAATGCGTCACACTGACATTCTAATGTAAAAAGAAAAACAGAATAATTTAACTTAAGACTAGGCTGTATGGGCATTGTTCCCCTTGCCTTCCCTAAAAAGGGAAATTCAACAATAAATAAAAAAATTGCAGTACCTATGTCTTGTGAGTTATTTACTTTACGTAAATAAATTAAACTTTATTGCCGTTTTCTTCTAATCAGTTTTCTATTTCTAGTTTGTAATCCTGCGTGATCGTGTTTGTTTCCTCGTGGTTCTGTACAAAAATAAATATAGCCTCATTTAAAAAAAATATTTGATCTACGATCTATTCAAGGAAATGGAACAGTGCCTCTAGATTTAGCTGATCCACAGGCTTAAATTTCCGAATATGTGGAAATATATGACCCGGCGTGTACGAGACACATTCGAGAGAGGTGCAAATCATTTAGATAAGCGAGGTACAACTGGTGTTGTGACTGCTGGAAATATAAATGAAGAAAAAAACAAAAGGGGAGGTCCTCCATGTTCTTGGCTCAAGAGTAAAAGATGTTGGGGATATTACAGACAAGGAAGCAACACCAATAATAATAATGGATGGAACTTTGAAAATCTTACATCCAGTTGGTTAAGTGCCATATCTTGGGTGAGGCAAACATAAAAATTATAAGTAATTTACAGAGCATTATCAATTTAGAACAACAATTTGATTATACAATTTTTTTTCAGAGTGGTGCATTAGTAATCAGTTGGTATACAACTCATCTGATTCAATGGAAATACAAGTATTATTCAAGACGATATAATGATAGTTGTTCAACTGCTTTGTTATCAGCCTTGCAACCATACATTAATGCAGTGAATAAAGATCCTACTTATACAAAACCAGTCTCTCAAATAGAGAAGTTGCTTGACCATTTTACACCAACAGTGCATTTGATAACAAATGAGCAAGTTGGCATTCAAAAACAGAGAACTGACAGCACCACTAGTAGTTCCACTACTCCAGACTCATCTAGTGATATTCTTGGAGATGTACTTAACTCCATAGAGAATAAGTTGGGATTAGCTGCTATAGAGAATGGACAATTGAAAGATGGGTTAAAATTACTGAGGTGATTTGTGTAAATAGCATGATATTGAATGAAAATTGAATTGAGTTTTAAACCTTATTGTTTTCAGGTCTGCTGCTAGTCGCAGTTATGCACCTGCTTTGTACAATTTGGGAATATGTTATGAAATGGGCTTAGGTGTTACAACTGATGAGAAGATGGTTTGTTGCTCTTTCATTTATTTTTGATTTTATAATTCATATTGACAGTGGAATAGCAAAATCACTTAAATGCCACTTTAGTAACTTTACGAACGAGAATCAGTTGTTTTATTCCCAAAATAAAAAAAACATTGTAAATAAGAAGTAGCACCATAAAGATATTCATTTAATAATCCTCCTACTAAAGAGTTACATAGTGCCAACAAATTAGATGTTGCTAAAGTTAAAATCACTCAGCCCGCCATACAATTTTTGTTAAGCAAACATCAAATCATATGTCAAATAGCGGGAAGTAAGCGCCATTGGTTCAAAAATTTATTTTATTTATTTTTAAGCATTTGACTGCTAGATGTTTAAATCTAAAGAAAAGCTTTACTAGAAAAAAATCCACGCAGACCAGGCAGCGGACGGGACTTGAACCCGCACCCTTCGCAATCCGGGCGAATGCACTGACCAATCATGCTACCACGGCCCTCATGGCCGCGTCGAAATTTTTTCCTAGCCTTAAGCTGCAAGGCAGCACCATCTCTTCTCATTGTAGGTAACCCACAATGTCAAATGAATACTTTTTCAAGTATTAATAGGGACAAACTCCGCATAATTATAGGAACCCTAACTGGTCATTGTCCCCTAAACAAACACCTATACACAATAGGAGTAACGGACAGTCCACTAAAAATTTTTTTATGAAATACATCTTTAAATAACAACAGGAAATATGTTTTTACATCTTAATAATAATGAAATGATCAGCTTTCAAAGTGAACATATTTTAATATAGTCCATTTTTATTTGTGTTACTTCACTTGTTTACTTTTAGGCAATGGAGTTGTACAGATCTGCTGCTGCCCTAGAACATCCTGGTGCATTGTACAATTTGGGAATTTATTATGGCCAAGGTCGAGGTGGGCTCACTCGCAACACCACCACAGCAACACGTTTGTTGCGACTGGCTGCAGTTCAGGGTCAACAGGAAGCAATTGAAGCTTTGAAATCACTGGAAGTTGAAAATGAAGACCCTGCTCACAACAAACCTGCTGTTCATCCATGGTCTTACAACTTAGAAGTTTCTACGCAAGACAATATTGTACCTATACCCACAACACTTTTTGTTGAAAATGTTGATTATTGTCCTCGTAAAATCAAAGCTACTGTTTATTAGTAGAATACTTGTTTAGAAATAGTTGGTATATTAATTCTCTCTAACAATAATTGAGAAAAATTAAATAATAATTTTAGTTTATGTTGTCTCAGACAATAACCTTGTTGAGTATCTATGCTTCAGTTTTATCTGAAGTTTAATATTCAAATAGTTTCGAGGCTTGCTATGAATCATTTTTGGCAAAGCATTAAAAACTAATAAGCATTATAAATAAGTTTCATTAGTTTAGCCGTTTTTTATGATAAAATGTTTTGAACAACCTAGTCAGTCAAAATTAAAAGTCAAAGCAAAAAACATAATGTAACTATCAAATCTATATACATTCTAAAGATCTGAACATGCTCAGTCAAATTATAATAAATTTTGTTTCAACTACAATTGTTACTACATAACAATTCTAGTTGAAGAATGATCCTGATTTTGCAAAGCTGCACTTAAGTCAACTGTTCTTTTCATCAAGTTCATACATACGACGAAAGATAATTTTGTGCTTATCCATGTCCACTATAACGTTTAACTTCCCTATCCATATACCAGTATGGATAGGGAAGTTAAACGTTATAGTTCTATTTATCATTATAGATTTATTTATTTACTACAATGAAAGTAAAATGTAAAATTCTTCACCAGCCTACACAGAACAGTTTTTTTTACAAGCCTTCTCTATATATCTCAAGATGGAATAGGGAGATTGGGCCATGCCATGACTTACCACATGGGACCAATGCGGATTGAAGGGTGTGCAACTGCATTTGCAGCCTGGACCAACGGCTTAACGTGCCTTCCGAAGTATGAGTAACTCGAGATAATAAATTTTTGGTCAGCCATCCAATGACCGGCCGTCTATTGCCCGTGGTACATTTGGGATAGTCCACTTGATGGATGATGATAAGTATCATGACCATGATTATTATTTTTACAGTGTACTACTTGTAAAACAAAAAATCATGATCATCAAAGTTAATCAGACTTCCGTGAAGTAAAGGAACTCCAACGGAGATACTTGTTTCGAATTACTTTTGTTTTAGCCAACTTTTATATCTCTTTAGTATTATGGATAACTAGGCACTTTGTAAGGATATATGGAACAGACGAATTTAGTTGCTAGTTTGGGTCAGCTAACACATTCTGTTAATTTTACGCGATCACTAGGTTTTTTTTTTTCTGTTTTAGTACAGGAATATTATTTCATTATTATACAAGTTTTACTTCACACAGTTTTAATAATTATGATCAAATCCGATTGTGTGATGATGATCTAAAAGTATTTGGCAAACTACCTTTTTGAGCTTTTTAATTTAGTTTTAGATATTAAGCAACTTAAATGAAGTTAAGACACGGTGGTGTGGTTTAATAAATGAAACTACAAAACATATTGTATTTTAAATACTATACCCTATCTCTTTACTGTTAAGTAAAGAATTACGTAATAAAACACATTAATAATTCACTAATGTTTATTAGTTACTTTACAGAATAATAAGGTACTACGTATAAAACGTAAATCAAAAGTCAACTTACATAGTATTATTATTAAAACTTTACAGTCAAATAAAGAATTACACAATAAAACACAATTGATAGTTCTAATGTATATTATATAGTTACTTTACAGGATAATTGGGTAGGAATATATAACATAAATCTAAATTAAACTTACTAAATTATTCCTAAAACCACGTTTTATGTTCGGACATTTATACAATGTCAGAAATATACAATTTTAACGTATTAGAACGTTATGTGGTGAGTTAACGTTGCGCAATTACACTTTAGTCAAATAGTTTCAAAGGAGGCAAACAGATTTTGAACAGACATAAAAAAATATTTTGTAGTCTTCTAAAAATATTAAAATTTATGACACATATACTAGCATCTTCCTAAGTGAAATATGGCGGGGTTTGATTTGGAAATTCGTCAGATATCATTTTTGACAAAAACATAGTTTGCAAACTTTGAAACTGATCGACTGAATTCTGAGATAATACACATGCAGTATAGGGAATGATAATAGAAATATCTATTTTTTTTAACTTATAGTACCGACAGATAGGAATAGGGGTAAGAATGTAATGTCGAAGATGTCGGTGGTTTGCCACTATTCAGGGTGTACAAAACACACGGAATTTGAAAATATAGGTCACTTGTTTGTCAAATTGTTATTACTACGTTTTTGTACAACCTGTTTATACAGCGACAATAGCTAAAGCTTAATTGTCACCATCAAACTATAGTGATCGAGGACCAGAAGAAGTGGCGCACCTACCAACACATTCGATTATACCTAAGTTACTGGCCTCCTTGAACCATTTTAAATAAAACTTTACGTTACTAGGTTCCCGTTACGTTACCTATCAGCGCACAAGGCCGAATAAAACATGTTTTGTCTAACAAAGCAAATTGTATTGTTTCGTGAGTTCAGTATATATGAGCAAAAGAATCTTTAACTATTTTTGACAGACCATAACAATAACATGAGATTTGATGACCGATGAGATTTGAAACAGTACTCTATATAACAGAAAATGAAATGCAGTATCACGTTTACAATAATTTTAGGAATACATTTAAACAAAGTATATTTTTGTTTATGAATGTGTTTTACAAGTATTGTTACGATTGAGAACGAGTGTGTTGTTAAATGTAGTATGTGTATAGGTGGGAAATCTTGTAATCTTTTTTCCTGTTTTTTATGTGTGTGTACTGTGTATATTATAGGTGAGAAAGGTTTTGATTTTTCTAGCTAGTGGCACACGCGAGCAGTGTGAAATGCGATGCAATTACTGTAGTAAAAGTAGCGCGGTTTGCTGCGTAGTAAATTAAATTTTGATGTGCGCGTTGAATCAAGAAAAAAGATGCTTTATTGCACTTAGGCGTTAGCCCGAATACGAGTGCCAATGAAATTCGGGTAGTTTTAGTTGACACCGCCTTTCAGCCCGTATTCCAGTGAAAATATTGCTTCGGGTGCCCGAATTCGAGTAATGTCTTTCGTGCACCCGAATACGGGCTAAGGACCAACCGACCGGACCGATTGTCTTATCTAGTACACAACCGACTAATCCGAACTACCATCGCCCGCACTACAGTGCGACAAGGGTCTCTAAATAAGTGACAGTTCAGGGAGGGCGCCACTGTCTCCGTAAATGACATACAAAATATGAGGTTTACAAAGCAAATGCAATGCATTAGTTCAAATTTTCGCCACATTAATGAAGATCCTTGTAGCACTATACCTGCACGCGCGCCTCGTCTTCTTGTTACAACTAGTCCTTAATGGTTAATGCATGCTAGCGGAGAGTCGAAGTGCATGGAAGCGAATTTCAGAATCTCAACAAAGTAATTTCACCATTATCTCTGCAAAGTAATGTAGGTACATATTCTTTCTGAGATCCAAAGAATTCGCGCTCATTAATCAACTCATAAAAAATAATATGGATTACGTTGCGGAGATTAGGGAGATTTTGCTGTGTTACTGTTTCTCAAATTAGCTTCGATGCGCTTCGACTTTGCGCTAGTATAAAATAGGGATGATGACTAAACTTTTTTCTTCGTCTACCAAAAAGTATTGAAACATATTTGTTCTTTTTTCTCATAATCAGAACATTGTAGAGATATGAGGAGCTGGCGAACAAAACGGTATAATTACATAAAATTAAACAGGAGCTGTATAAAACTGAATGACATAGCTTCAGTGAGCTTTTGGCATGGTTTTTAATTTATACATTTAGTAACTTTAACACTATTTTAGGCGGTTTCGAATGAAAATTATATGAGATTCAAATTCAACGGGCGCGAAACGTCCAGACTGTAAAAAAAGTAGTTTGATCAGATGCGTATTTATAACGTTTTGTTCGCCAGCTCCTAATATACTGATTTATAATATCGCATGATGTCACGGCTTACAAGTAACGTTACTAGCCCCCACTCCCATACTTTGACGCGGTTTATCTTGATTGGCGAAAGAAAAATGAGTCTATAATTTTTTGATAATATAACTGTGGTATTAAATAGGATTTCCTTTAACCCGTCATCACCCCTATTGAGCATAAGATGTCAATTTACTGGTCGACATATTCAACTCATACACTGGCCACCAAGTAACCGCGCGAGTCTATTGTTTGGTACTGCGGCGGGTAGCGCGCCTCGCAAGCGCCGTAAACGCTACCTATAGTGACACGCGCGCGTGTTAGGGTCGCCGCACACGGCCCACCGGCCACAACCACAAAACGCCGCCACCGGCATATCTCCTGTTGTTTTCATACATTTTATATGGACTCGCCGCACACGGTTAACGCCGGTGGCCGCCACACGCTACAAATCGTCCTTGCTCACTTCTTATGTCCCACACCAACCACTAATGCGCCGATTCAACACACCGCCACACGCCACTCACGCGATTCCCCGCCTTCAAACCTTCTTCGTCAGAGTCCATTATGCTACTGCACACATGTATTGAAAAACAAGTAGCAGCCACCGACAGCTAGTGTCGACCACCGGCCATAAGAGGCTGTCGCGCGCTTCAGCTACCTTTGTAGCCGCTTCTAACTTCTGGTGGCGGCGTTTGTAACTGTCGCGTGTGGCCCGTGTGCGGCGACACTTAGCATGGCTCCCACCGGGTGATCGCGCGCGCGTGTTGGTCAGCGTTGTGGCAGTTAGTACTTGCGCGGGTAGTCGCGCTGCGAGGGCGCGTACCGGTCGGGATAGGCGGCGCCGGGCGGCGGCGGCTGGTACTGCGGCGGGTAGCGCGCCTCGTACGCGCCGTACCGCGCGCCGTCGCCGCCCGCGCCGGATCCCGACCATCCCTCGCCCGCGCCGCTGCCTCCCCCGCCGCTACCTGTACAATAGAGAGAGAGAGAGAGATTTTTTATTAACCATTTGCACGAGAAGTACAAAAACAATGAAAAATCACATTTACATTAACATGAAAAATTAGAAACTAACTTAAAACTATAAAAGTAAAAAAATAGTTAATCAGGACCCTGCCTCGGCATGATGCTGTTGCCACACGTTATTAATCAGATATTATATATAGGCAACAGGATATTTGACAAGTTTTAGAAAATGTCTCAAAACAAATGTTTAAGGAGTCCATAAAAAGTGGATATTTTAATTCTGTTGTGTTTTGAAATTCAGTAAAAATACTAAATTGAAAATTGTATTTTCAAGTTGCCGCGAAAACGTTTCTCTGGACATTATGACGTCTCACAAATGTGTGACGTCACACGACTGTCATTAAATGTCATTAACGATACAATGTAATGCCACTTTGGCCGGAAGTGTACTAGCGTGTGACGCCATATTAGTCTTAGCCAGTCCCAGGCGTTTTCGGTCACGTGACCATGGAGCAAAAAAATCATTTCGTTTTCATGATTTTATAGAAAAGTTATTTATTATTAAGTTATTATTTGTTCTTTCAAAATGATAATTAAATACAGACGCCAACAATTGGTACATCATTTCTCATACTGTCAAATAGCCTATTGTGAGATTCCATAGGCTCTATTCATACCGCCGAGGAATGTCGTCATTATTTTTACACTAATTAGAGACATCTTGACTATGAAAATGTAAGCCGCTTCTTACTCTTAATCTTACTGTAAATTACGCAGACTGAAGTCTTGATTTAAACCTCATGTTGTCCCTGTGTCTTTTTAGCAAACAAAAAAGACAACATCAGTTTTAGTCCAGGTTTAACTTTAGTCTATATTTTGTAAACAGATAAGGTCTATATTATTATTATTTTTTGGTTTTGTTTCACTAACTAATTGTCATCATCTCATACTTTCTTTTGTTATCACGTCTGTTCGTTTTCAAAGCTTATTGTAATCTGTGGATAGTCATAATTGGCTTTCAAATTATATACCATTGATTGTAATTCCAATATACATATAAGCTGTGTACTGTCCCTTAAATAAATAAGGCGGTTACACAATTAATTTCCTGTTAATCTGTATACTTTACCTTTGTTTGGTGCCGCAGAATCGGGGTAGCGGCTAGAGGCGGTCCAGCGAGGCTCCGGTTTGCCGGGCGGCGAGGGCCTGTACGAACGACTGTCGCGCGAGTCATATGAACGGCTGTGGATAAAACGATCTAGCTTAGTATATTATATCCCACCAAAAACTTAAATGCAAAAAAGGAGAGCCAAGTTCAATACAAAAATCATGCTTCGCTGTGGGCTTCGACGCAAAAAGAATGGAGATCTAAATAAGTGCCAAGTTCTATGCAAAATCCAAATATGTATTTATAGGAACAAAATAACATTATGAACAAGTATTAAACTCTTATTTCTGTTTTCGATGAAGCCCATTCATGCGGCAATAAGGTCACGCGATTCTTATAAACGGCTAACAACGATATTAAATACCCTAGATACACCACGAGCGCTCAAAATGTGTCCCAATCAAGAAGTGCTTGAACTCCACTCAAGCACTTCTTGGTTCACAGTTACGCGCGGACTGTTACAAAGTCAAGATGCCACAGAGCTCCGCGTAAAAGTGCGAAAATAATACTTAGAGTACGAAAAGTGTCGTTTTTTCGACAGGTATCTTGTCAATGTTTGTTAATTGAACTCATTTGAAGCAAATTTTGATGTAATAGTTACTATATACTGATTTAATATAAAATATTTGTGATATTCAAATGCATGGTCGGTTATACGTCGCCACATAGCCGTCTCTTTTCCTCGCGGTCCGTGCCTGCTATATTGCTAACAGCGCGTTCAGAATTGCGCGTAGAGTCAAAGAACTAAGGTCTAATTCTTCCGCATATAGCAATAAGTCGTAAAATTTTACGAGCTTGCACTTCGAACTGTCAGAAGTCCTTGACGCATGCGTTTTATTTAAGGCCTTATACAGTATGTATTAAAGGTTACTTTCAATATTTAAACAATGCCTTATATTGATATTGACTAGGCGATCATCTTACGGAGCTCCGTGGATCGTTCAATGTACCTTTTGGACAGGTTTCCGGCACGATTTTGTTCGTGTTGGTGTATCTAGGGTATATAATATCGTTGACGGCTAAGGGCAAACCAATCTCGCTTAGCAATAACGCTGTACTGGTTTGTACTGATACTCGTCCATTGATCGAAATTAAGACCTTTCTATACACCTGAGTATAAACTATACCACACTATGTCGAGACAATAGGCAGAATTTCCATTCAGACTATTTGCTAGCAGGTACATGGCACATGAGTATTGCAGGCATGTAAACAGTGTGTAGCTTGTGCTGAGTTAAAGTTTAAATTGTGTATCAATGGTGTTTCAGTATTTTGAATATGCATTGGTTATTTGGAGTTTTAGTAAAACCTACTAACATTGTTACTGTAGTATTTTAGAGAGCCACTCAATGGCAATGGCAGCGCCTGAATATAAAATAAGCCATTAAGTTTGAAACTTTTTGTCGGCTTCATCGCGGTCTACGGTCCAGTTCTGCGCCTACTGTAATCTATGAGATGGCTAGAATCCTACACAAACAACGCAGTTAGGAACGGGAACGTAGAACTTGGTACTATGTGTATATATCTAGATAGGCCACTCCAGCTAGACTTTTAAAAATAATGGTAATGCTTGGCTTGTTCAGTGTAACTTATGAATTAATTAACAAGGACCAATGTACATCAACTGTTTTGAAAGAAATTACGATAAATCACCTCATCCATCCAGCAGAATACATCTTGACACTCAGACCGTTCTGTTTCGTGTACATTGTATATATACAAAAAAGCAGACTTCAAATTACAGACAAGAAAATACTGCTAAAGAAATTAAATAAACGGTAACCTGGGCTCTTTGATTCTTGTTCCTGGCGGCATCGGCTGACGGGAATCGTCAGTGGCACTGCCATTGCTAGGGTATTTCATGCTTCCAGCTGCAAAGATAAATCACAGTTAGTTAAGATTTAACAAATGATTTACGCTAAATTCGGCGCTTCGATCTGACCCCGGCTCGAAAACTGTACGAAATAATATCTTTTTTAAATCTAAAGAAAAGTTTACTAAAAAAAATCCACGCGGACCAGGTAGCAGACGGTACTCCAAACCGCACCCTTCGCTATCCGTGCGAATGCACTGACCATTATGCTACCGCGGCCCTGACGGCTGCGTCGAGTTTTCTCTAGCCTTAGGCTGCAAGACAGCTCCATGTGTTCGCATTGTAGGTAACCCACAATGTCAAATGAATACCTTTACAGGTATAAAACATTTGAAAGAAGAAATAGCAATTAGTTGTTTTTATTTTTTAAGCATTTAACGGCTAGATGTGTAAATCTAAAGAAAAGTTTACTAGACAAAATTCTACGTGGACCAGGCAGCAGACGGGGCTCGAACCCGCACCCTTCGCTATCCGGGCGAATGCACTGACATTATGCTACCGCGGCCCTGACGGCCGCGTCGAATTTTCTCTAGCCTTAGGCTGCGGTAGCATAATGATCAATGAATTCGCCCGGATAGCGAAGGAAACTTCGAACTGCCTTCGACTCGACAACTGTACGAAACAATTTCTTTTTTACTTACAGGATACGTGTCGCGAGTAGTCCCGTTTGTAGTCGCGGTCTCGTTTGTCCGCGCCGCAGTCGTATCGGGCCGCCATCTTGAAGCGCGGTGGGGGCGGCGCTTCGAACTGACCCCGGCTCGACAACTGTACGAAACAATATCTTTTTTACTTACAGGATACGTGCCGAGGGTAGTCCCGTTTGTAGTCGCGGTCACGTTTGTCCGCGCCACGGTCGTATCCGGCCGCCATCTCGAAGCGCGGTGGAGGTGGCGCTTCGAACTGACCCCGGCTCGACGACTGTACGAAACGAAACAATTTCAATTAGAACAACACAATAGGGAGGCATGGCTTAGATAATGTGACCATTTCCGATTCTATTAGTTGTATCCTTATGTTATATAAGCCTATAGAACTCTTAAAGGAGAACAACTTCACCAAACATGATTTTCGTGTAACTTTTACCGTTTACGCAGCGCACGTAACGGAAGCTTTCAATATCTTTTTCCGTTTTCCATCACCACACGGGCCCAGTGCGGAACCGAGGTGTCAAATACTACATATGCAGAAGGAACAAACGGTGTAACGTGGCCTACGAAGCACGGAGGAGCTCAAGATAATAAGATTTGGTCACCCATCCAATGACCTACCACTGCGAAAGTTGCTTATCTTCAACAATTACAGCCAAAACGCACTAACCACTTGCGCCGTCGAGCTCCTCCATTCGTCTCCATTAGCTCATGCATCCCATAAAGTATGCACATACCAAATTTAATCAAAATCCGTTCATACGCCGGCTTGCGCACACGCCGTCGCGGGCGGCCGCTAGTATCATTTAATACACATTGATAGTCACCATAGGCGGCGGGGGCGGGCGCTTGTGCCGCTCGCGCTCATAGGCGGGCTCGGGCGGGGGGCTGGATGCCGGCTTGCGGTATGCGGCACCGCTCTCGTAGCCACGCTTACGGCGCTCCTCTTCCAATCTAGAACAAAAAATAATTTTGTGGGTATCTCAATATTCATTAATAAGGATGTTGACGGTTACCCATTCATTCTCTCGACACTCTTTGGTGATTTGGTATTTGTCCCAGATATACTACGGCATGCAAAAACCGGGCTTAAAGAAATCAGCTAAGCCGGTGTTTTCGTTTTTTACGTAATAGTCAATAAAAAAAAGTAAAAAAATGCGTATTAACTGGAACAATTCCTCGGAGCACTCAACTGTAGAATGTGCATAGGCAACCAAAGTCCGTGCGCGGTTCTAAAGACTCCCAGATTTTCCGCTAGCTTGGGATCATCGACAATCCTAATCGCGCGTCTTTGTAAAGAAAGCTCCAGCACAGAGATGTGAGCAACACTTTGAGCTATTGAAAAAGCATTTTATGGTTTGTTTGCCTTTTGTCTCAGAGGAATAAGTGATAACTATGGTCGAAAGTTGATAGTATCAAGTGTGTAATTGCAAATCATTTAAATACTTTCATCTTCAATCTTACTACATTAATCAGGTAACTTACAGTAGTCGTTAATCTAATCACAGCAATAAATCAGTAATAAGTAGAGGTTAGTTTCGTTCTCAAAATGTAATTGTCTTTAAATGGATTAAATAAATGAATAATTTGTTGAATGTAGGTATATACAAAAAAAAATAGTAATTACATAGTAAAATTAGGTGTATGTGTTAAGTTAAAAATAGATAGAGTATCAAAAATTAATACCTTAATTGGGCCCGCTTCAGTTCCAATCTTTCCAACTCGAGTTTTTCACGCTCCAGTCTGTGACGTTCACGCTCCAGGCGAAGCAACTCATTCTTTTCACGTTCAATTTTTTCCCTGGAATAACAAAATTACATTATAACACACATACAACAAAAATTTGATACATAACAATTTATAAACGTTTAAGCGGAAAACACTGGATTGACGTGTTTCTATCCAAAGCTGCTTTCATCTATCTGCCTGCAGCTTTCCACAGAAAATCTCTATATTAACGATTAAATCTATATTGCAGCTTATTGCGCAAGCGAGTTTTTTTTTCGTTTGTTACGCTTTCACGCAAAAACTACTGAACAAATGCAGATTTTTTTTTTACATATAGTTTATAAGCTGAATTGAGACATAGGATACTTTTTATCCCAGAAAATGTTACGTTCCTGTGAGATTCTCAGAAAACTAAAGTTGACGCGGGGAAAATCGCGGGCGGCTGCTAATTTTGCTATAGGACATGTCTTGTAACGTCTAATCAGGGAGTTTAGAAAACTACGTCACCAGTTGGTGCCACTGTGACACGAGGTCATTTGTATGAAGTTTTTAGCGCGAATTGATCGAACAAGCATTAAAATTTATCCCCTCAGCTGTGTCATCTATTTTGTTTTTCACGGCCGGCAATAATTTTTTTTCAAATGGCCGACTTTCCTCTTATTATTCGAATTTGACTGTATATCCAGGGTTCATTTATCGGAATCAGAATAGTTTATTTACAAACTTATCTATTTAATAGATGTGTAAATTAAAAACTATTATAGATCTTGCAATATACGAGCGCGCGGCGCCCTTAGTTGTGAGAGTGACCAATCTGTATACGCGTCAATGTAGGCACGAGAGTGACCGTGCGTACGATTAGCAGACAAAAAATCATTAATTCAAGTAATGGATTACAACCATTTTTATATTTTGTTTCTTTTTTGATGTGTAACATCTTTCCCCTCGCTTACCTGCAATTTGTGCGAGTGATTTCGTGAAATGGGACGGAAGTGTGTAACAGGAAGTCGCGAATGCGCGCACTATTTAATTTGATTTAAGAACATAATGTTCAAATGGCATATCCTTTTGTAGTAGGTTTTATTTCTTTTTTTACTAATATAAGGTGAGGTTTCAAATGTTACACCTCATACGCGACTACTGTAAGGCTCGCTCGTTTTATTTGTTAAAAGGAGTGGTCAAAATAAGAAATAAACAACATCGTTATAGTAATTCGTAGTTACCAATTTACATTAGTAATAAATTATTACTAAGTTATTACTAACAATTAATAATTACAGGTAGAAAATTATAATAAATACAAAAGAAATGTAATCCTAAGCAACACCTTAACTCTATACATAAAAAAATCTCCCTCAGTTATTATTCGTAATAAATAATATTAATTTACATATTATATTATATTTACATAGATTTGACATGCTGACCGTACTTCGAGAACAACAGCAACATAGAAACAATAAGTACAAGTGACTCGAGCGTAGGTTCGCTCGCTACTAACCACTCCGTCGGTACACACACTACAAATAAAGGCCACGCGCGCTCGTAGAGTGCAAAATAGTGAAAATAAATATATGAAAATATTTTTTTCAACTGCTGGCAAAAATCATCCAATCTACACAGCATAGGGAATATCCACGGAGGAAAAACAAAGAGGAGCTGGCCTAAGCAACTGTGCACTGTGATTTTCAACTAGCTCCTGACGTCATCATTGTGGGCGGGGCCTAAGTCAGTATGCTTTCAGCGTTCGTCAGGTGCACACTTAACGAGACTCGCATTATAAGTGTTTTTATGCGTTTTTAACAAGAAAAGGATGAAGTTTTGTGTTTTACTATGTCAAAGTTACTCAGACAGACGTTCTGATAATATGGATGGCATCACATTTCATTTGTAAGTAATTTTATACGTAATTAAATATATAAGTTCTAGAACATTCTCAGCCTCAGCTATCAGCGTTAAAATTCTACTACTTGACACCAGATGGCGACACTTTTAGGAAGAAAATACACAAGTTTACGTATAATTTTGCAGTAGTATATTGTAATAATCATACGTAAATACTGAAAACTGTTATACACTTATTCCTAAATAACTTTTAGTATCTAAAACAGTAATTTTATCAATATATTACTAACTGGCCGCCATCTGTCGTCATATAGAATAACTTTTTAAACGTTACAAATATCCAGGGCCGTAATACGTATTAAATTATTTTACCAAGTAAATAAATTTTAATTATTTTTATGTTCGTTTTAGATTTCCATCCAACGATAATTTAAAACAGCAATGGATTTCAAAACTTAATAGACCGGATTGGACACCATAGAAGAAGAAGATATTTCCATTTTAAATGAATCTTCTGTGCAAATCGTTATCACATTTTAAATAAAATGAGTTTCGAGTCTTCGGATAGCACGGATGTCGAGCCTATGCCTGACGATATGTTATTGGAATTTGATGAACAATTTAATACAACTATAGGTGACTATTTGCGCCGTCAAATAGTAGCATATATTTCTGGGTATGTGGTCAAATACACACATCAAAAGTGTCTAGGGATCAACATATATTTTTGCAATAACTTTTCTCCTGATTGATATTAATTAAAATTTTCTTTAAGGATTCATCAAATAAAGTGTTTTCGTTTGTCACAGTAACGATAAACCAAGTCACCTTTGCATTAATAAAGAAATTTGCCATTTTCCTAATAAAGGGATTTTTGACATTTGAACCACTAACACAAAAGTTCGAAAAAAAGACTGAAATAACAGTTTTCTCTAAAATTTTATTGGGTAACTTAAACAATTAATAATCCGTATTTCTACCGCGAACACTAACAACACAAGAACATCGGTTTGGCATACTCAAAATGAGTTCATCCAAATCACGCTGTGGAATGGCCGCCCATGTTCGTTGCAACAACAAAAAAAGGTCTTCTTGCGACTGGATACCCTCCATATTCGGCAGAGCTCTTCTCTGTAGCATATCCCATGCATGCTCAATCGGGTTCAAGTCTGGCGACTGAGCAGGCCAGGGCAGGACATTGATGTTAGCTGCGGCGAGAGTCTGTCTTACAACTCTTGCGGTGTGCGGTCGTGCATTATCATGCATTAACTGAAATAAGGGACCGATTTGCACTTGTAGAGGAACGATGACGTCTGATACAATCGTCTCAGCATAAATTTGAGCGTTGAGGTTGCCTCTGATCCAAATCAACTCAGTTCTTCCGCCGATCCAAATACCCGCCCATACCATGATGGTTCCACCACTATAAGGATGGACTTCCTGGCAGGATTTTAATCGCTGTTGGCGTCCAGGGGTTCTCCAGTGTCGTATACGTCTTGTATCCGGTCTCATACCAAAACGAGACTCATCAGAAAAGCACACGAAACGCCATTGTTCTTCTGCCCAATTTCTGTGTTCAAGAGCCCATTGATATCGAATCCTACGATTGTGCATTGCTATAGGTGGTACCCGTAGCGGTCTTCGGGAATGAAGGTTCACTTCATGCAAGCGGTTTCTGACTGTTTGGTCGCTAATTAAGTTCCCTGAAGAGTGATGAAGCCTCACGGCTAACATCATGGCGGTTATTGTTGGAGCTCTTCGAGTTAAGATTTGAATGTATCGGTCTTGTCTCCGTGTGGTGCAGCGATACCGTCCTCCATGGCGCTCAGCCACGGTTCCAGTGCTTCGGTATCGTGTCCAAAGTCGACTGATAACACTCTGACTTGTATTCAGAGCTAAAGCCACAGTACGTTGCCGGGAACCAGCTTCTATCATTCCCACGGCTCTGAGCATTTCTTCCCTGCTTAAATGACGTCGCCGCTCCATAATAACGTTGGTTTTAATCAGTAGTAGGAAAACAGTAGCACTAATAATGTCTTCAATGCGTTGTATGTTTTTATAGGGAAAATATTGACAGCTGATTTTCATCTTTTACTCGAATTTGATTCACAGTTCCTGATTCAAATTATGAAATGCACCAAAAAGGATCCATATAAATTTATAAAATCATAAATTTATTACAAAGCCACATCTCAATCTCAAGAAATCCGCATAAAAATGCTTGATCCCTAGACACTTTTGATGTGTGTATTTACATTCCAAGATCAAATGTGAGAGCTGTCTCAAAGAATTATAGCTGATAACTACGACGATAGTGACCTTGATTTGATAAAAACTAAAAATAAGGGTGGTCTTACTTTCCCATCTAGAGATGTCATAAAAATATGTATACGGACCGAAGGCAGTATTCGTTGTGTTAAATCGCAATCTTTGAATACTCCGTAACTTTATAGATATTAACGGGATTGTTACCATGTACCTTGTTTTTTATGAGTCTCCGATATTTGAAGAAGGGATCATGCGTAACAAGATACCAGCAATCGATGCGGATACACTTAGACAAGATGTTGCTGTGGTGTTACGTCATGTGAAGCCACCAAGACCGAACATTACTTCCTCCGAATCAGCTGCGTTACAAGATCTTCGAAAGAACAAGAATATAATAATACTTAAAGCTGATAAAGGGAATGCGACAGTCATAATGGACATCACTGAGTATGAAAGTAAGATTCATAGTCTACTCACTGATGAAAACACGTATATTAAGGTGAATTACAACCCAACGGCGAGGACTGATCGAAGCACTCGCTCACTTATAAAAGAATGTGCCTACGCTCTAGACGACGATACCGTCAAATATTTGCTGCGTCCTAGAAACGTCCAACCTCCAAAACTATATGGTCTGCCTAAAATACATAAGCTGAATGTGCCGCTACGTCCGATTGTGAGTCAGATAGACTCACCTACGTATGAACTGGCCAAGCACGTAGCAAAAATATTGCAGCCGTTAGTGGGACGAACATCGTCATTTGTAAAGGATTCCCGCCATTTCGTGGAAATCTTACACCAAAACAAGGTGGAATACAATCAGTTGATGGTTAGTTTCGACGTGGAATCACTTTTCACAAATGTACCTGTGTTGGACTGTCTGGAAGTAGTAAAGGTGAAGTTGCAGGACAATGGCATCCCGACAGAATATGCCAAGTTGTTACATCATTGTTTGTCAACGAACTTCTTTATATACCAAGGTCAGTACTACCTCCAAATAGATGGGGTGGCAATGGGCAGTCCGGTAGCTCCAGTAGTAGCCAATATATGGATGGAGTATTTTGAGGAAAAAGCTTTCGCCACCGCCCCCACAGAAATTGCACTATGGAAGAGGTATGTCGATGACGTATTTTGTGTTTTGAGAGGAAACAAAGAAGATGTCGAGGCACACTTGGCAAATTTGAATGGAGTCCATACCAAAATGCGGTTCACATATGAGATGGAAGAAGACCGAAGTCTGGCCTTTCTTGATGTAAAGATTCGAGTGCGGAATGACGGTTCGCTGAGTCACTCCATTCACCGCAAAGCTTCACACACAGACCGTTATCTCAACGCCTCCTCGCATCACCACCCTAAACATCTAAATTCTGTAGTCACTTCACTGACGAACCGTGCATATGACTTATGTGACAAGGAACACCTGCACGAAGAGTTGGAGCATGTACGGCAGGTCTTACAGAATAACGGATACAAGGGAAAGTTTCCACCCAAACACAAATTAAGACACCAGAAACACAAAGTAGACAGGCAACCACTATTTTTGCCATATGTCAAAGGAGTGACAGACAAGATCTCTAACATACTTAATAAGTACTCACTGAATACTGTCTTCACTCCTTTACAAAAAGTATCACAGATTCTACGGTCTCCTAAAGATAACTTCCCCTTGGAGAAACCTGGTGTATACAAGATCGACTGCAGCTGTGGTAGTTCTTATATTGGCCAAACGAAGCGGACAATAGCGTGCCGAATGAAAGAACACATTAAAGCAGTCAGAAATAATGATACGCAAAAATCAGCCATCGCGGAACATTTAATTGATTCGGGTCCTAATCACTGGATTGAGCTCCATAAGCCACAAATTATCTCGACAGAACGCCACTACATACCAAGATTGGTCAGGGAAGCGATTGAAATAACCAAACACAAGAATTTCAATCGTGAGGATGGGTTTAAATTGTCTAGTGTGTGGAATCCAGTGGTTCGTATGTGTAAAAACCGCAAAAATCAAAAAAGTGTCGTTCCGCGATCTGATACTGTGAGTATTGTGTGCCGGGAACAAATGCGAGTGAATAGTGAGAATGTGACCAATGGTAGTGGTAGTATCGAACGCAGTAAAAGACGACGTCAGAGGGTAGACCGATATGTCTGCCAATAACATCTACCCGCAATTACTTCAGTTACTCCGTGATCATGGCGCTTGCAACAGTGCCGAAATATCGGAGACTCATAAAAAACAAGGTACATGGTAACAATCCCGTTAATATCTATAATGTTAGTGACCATGAAAGTTTAAAACAATACTCCGTAACTTAACTTTCGTAAACATAAAATTGTATCGAATACATTAAAATCACTTATTGGACAAGATTGTTTCAAAAAAATCGGTCAACCATATGTTTGACCAATCACCTACAGTTAATCATGTTGTATTTCTGATGAAATCGATTGCAGAAAAATATATTGATATTTGTTTTAAGCATTTTGCCACAATACAAAACGATAGGGCAACCAACCGACAACAACTAACCAAAACTATTACTTACAGGTAATTGATGTTTTTTAATAAAATTATGTTTGTAATAACATTTTGTCTATTATTTTTAAACTACCTTAAAATTTAAATCTAAAGAAAATATAACTAGAAAAATATCCACGCGGACCAGGCAGCAGACGGGAGCGGGTGCGGGTTCGAGTCCCGTCTGCTGCCTGGTCTGCCTGGATTTTTTTTCATCAAGCAGTTACATGTTTTAAAATAATAAAAATTATACCTTAAAAATTTTAAAATCGGTCAAATTTGTTAACGTTTATTTTATTTATTTACCTACATATTTCATTTTTTTGAAGCTTCAAGTTCTGAGTACGTCCAATTATATACAAAACTTTTGAACATCTAGTGTTAGATAGCTGAACTACTACGTAGTAACATAAATATCAACCTAAGCTAGTTTTGCTATTAGCCGATAGATGAAATATTGAGAAGTGGGCGGAGCTGAACACCCCGCATCCCGCAAATTATCACGCGTCGTTTCTTGAGGAAATTTAATCACCACACCTCCTCTTTGTTTTTCCTCCGTGGGAATATCCAAAGACTATGACGACAAACATGATTCCGCCTGCGCTCCTCGCGAACGTTCCCGAGCGCAGGCCACGTCGCGTTCCTGCTGCAATACATATATTCACCTCTCGGCGCGCAGCTTTTCCCGCTCGACGGCGAGGCGGTGCTTCTCCTGCCGCTGCCTGCGTTCGCGCTCTCGCAGCGCGTCGTCTGCGATCCTCCGCCTGCGCTCCTCCTCGCGAACCGCGCGCGAACGTTCCCGAGCGCGGGCCACGTCGCGTTCCTTCTGCATTATATATATAGAAATAATATTTTAAAGTTTCGTTGGTTCGTTTCTGCTGGGCTGACTGAATTATTTCGGCAAGGCAAGACTATTCAAAATTATCTAAGAAACATTTGCAATCAGGAAGCCATCAAAAGGCTTATGTAAGTAGCACCATCATATCATAAAATGTAGGAAGTAAAGGTACAAAAAGACACAAAATATTTGGATGATTCAAAAGGTAAATTGTGCATTCAATTTGAGTAAAGAATTTTTGACTTTTGACAACATAGTCTTCAAATTTTCACTTACAGTCATCACAAAATAATAGGCCCGTTTCGACATTTGTCACTAGTGATGTAACCATATGACTCAAGAAGAATAAGGACATATAGTTCTTAATGATAATTATAATTTTTAAGTCAATTAATTTTACTAAATCTTTTAAATTTCTGTCAAATGGCGGTTGTGTTTGGTAAAAATTAGATACCTATTTAATGGTTTTAAGCATGAAATAAAAAGTTTCCGAAACCATATTCTATAGCACGACCATTATTTAATATGATTTTGTAAAATTTTAATTCTACGTCCCCAAATTACGGAGTCCATAAATATTGTCTCAAACTGCACGTTTTTTCAAGTTAAGAACTAATTTCGAATATGAAACTTTATGGGCGCACAAATGTCATAATGGGCCTATTATTTTGTGATGACTTTAGTCATAGAATAAATCACACTTACCCAAATTTTAGAAAAAGATAGCACCTCTCTTGGTGATCTCTTGCGTTCATCACTCTTGCGGCGGGGCTTATCCTGAAAACAGATTGAAGATTTTAAGTAATTAGTCTTTTATTAGTAGAAAAAATATTGAATAAAAGAAACATGTTTTAATTAATTGAAGTGATTACGTAAATAATTAATGTTTTATATTTTTAACCTTGTCAGAACGATGAGACTTCTCGCGCGTTCGCGATGTGGACCTAGTACTCTCTGCGCCTGATATTTCCCCTTCTTTCTTAGCGTTTTCACCAGTAGTATCTGCACCTTCTTTACTTTCCTATAATAAGTAACCACACAAAATCAGTATAAATATAAAGAACTTTGAACTAAAGAGTTAAAATGTGGATTCTGCCATTAGAACTCAATATGGGGTAGTTACAATGATGTATAATAAATAGACAGGTCATACACCAACATTATTGCATTTTAAAATGGCAAAAGTAGTCCCCGCCCCACCTTCCCTTGGCAACAGCCGCCAATAGAGCGTACTAAAGTAGTCTCTTTCACTCTCATTCGTGAAACAATTATATCTCGTTCTTTAGCATCCACACGTCAACAGTGTCAGCAACTGTCATAATAAGTAATCACTTTTCATTAATTTCTTTAAAACTGTATTTACGAAAGAAATTACACGTTTTTCCTGTCTGTAATAGTTCCCGTGTATTTTGTGAACTGTCTAAAAATACATGTTGTAGCTAAGTGTAGCCCCGGCGAGAGAGCGTGCCCTGAATGCAAGTTGGGTAATCACCTGACTCTCGTATTGCTACTAACTAGAAGCGTGTATGACGTATCTATAACTTTAAAACATCATAGAGTAGTTATAATAAATATAACTTCAACTTTCAGCCAAGGAGAGGTAGATAATGTAAATACAAGTCTAAAAGCAAATATAATATGGTGATGTTGACTATGACTACGAAACTACATATGTAATTATATAATATAATGTACAACATGCTAAATATACTATAAACCAAATAGTTAATAGGTATTTACAGACCTCATTTTCTTTAACTTCTTCCTTACGATCCTTACTTGGTCGCCGTTCTGTTCTTGAAGGTTGACGTCGCGATGACGATTCTGATTCAGACTTCGCTTTTTCCACGGATATCATACGGCCATGGAGTTCTGAGAATTACATTATTGATATATTAAGATTATTAAAATTTTATTACTCAAGTATCAATGTTTGAATTGTTTACTTTCTATAAATGTTTCTATTTTAGCTGTTTATAATTATGTTTGTGTGTTTTTATTGGTCAATAAAATGGTTCTCTTTCTCTCTCAAGTAAGCAATCAAGACTAACGATTTTAACTGAACAGTAAAATGCATATTGATCACATCCACAGTGACATGAACACTGCATGTCATATTTCTAATCCTAGCTAATATTATAAATGCAAAATTGTTTGTTTGTTACACTTTCACACCTAAACCACGGAACGGATTTGGCGAAATTTGGTATGCATATAATCTATAATCTGAATTGAGACATAGGATGCTTTTTATCCCGGAAAAGTGTTCCTAAGGGATTAAAAAAAAACTAAATCTAATGCGGAAGACGTTAGAGAAGAAGAGTAATGTAATATACAAGTAGTATTTTCTTTAAGCTTCGAGTCAAACCTTCACTTTTATCATATTTTGCAAGATTTATATTTCCTATCACTAGAACAGTAGTGACATAGATATAATTTGACTAAAGAAAAAAAAATGTATAGAAAATTAGTTTACCAGTTCGATGCAAGTTCTTGATACAATTTTCTGCATCTTGAGGACTTGCCATTGTAACATAGCCATAACATCTAGAACCTGGTGTCCTAGCATTAGTTACTACTTTTGCCCCAATCACCTAAAAAGAAATACAGTTAACAATATAAGCATATTATTTAACAGTTTTGTATGACCAAATATGATCAACCTTTACCTTGCCATGCTTACTGCACAACTGTTTTAAATCCTTGGCGCGAGTGTCGCCTGAAAGCCCACTAACCCAAAGGTTACGTGCACCACCTTCTTTGCCGTCTTCTTTCTTTTCCTTTTTATCCCCATCATCATCCTTGTCTTTCACATCTGAAATAATAACAAATTCTATAATAATATATTCATAATATAGATATACATTAAAAAAATCGGTAAAAAACTGTACCTTTTTGTTCTTGTTCAGTCTTTTCTCCGTCATTACTGAAAAAAAAAAGAAGATTTTTGTAATCACATTAAAATAAATAAATCAATCAGAAGTTTTGACAACACAGTACTAGTTTTTTTCTGAGAGATTAAGATTGTCAAAGGCAGTATCAGTAACACACACAGCCACTACAAAGTTTTGCACCATTTCTTCTCTGCCTCAGGTTGCGATGATAGTTGTCCACAATCTGGAAGACCTCATAGACGTGATGATCTTCAATCTTGCTGCTGCATAGAACTTCATAACTGCAGAGAGCTGTAGAGGAGCACAGCAATGTAAATCCACTAGAACATTTGACCGAAGAGATGCATGGATGATCTTCTTTCTTGAATGTAGATCATTACGGAACTGCATACAGGATCTTGTTCTTCTATGTAAATAGGTGCAAAACTTTGTAGGGTTAACGAAATGGAAATGTCGGTATAATCGGAGCGTAATATAGATGCGCGTGGCAGCGTCGCGACGGCCATTCGGCGTTCACCAACCTAGTGGCGGCGGCTTCGGCGTTTACTTGTTGATGGTCAGTCGTAGAAGCGGAGTCTGCATCAGCGGCGGCGTCACTGGGCGCCGGGTTGTCACCAGTAGTCTCGGCTGCGTCTTCATGGACCACGTCATCTATGTCAGTAGTCGTTATCAGCTGAGCCAGCACAGGTCGCTCTGCATAAGGGAGCGGCCTGCCCTGCCTCTCTTCATCTTCTTTAGACAGCAGATGACACAATTTCTTCACATTTTCTAAACTTTCATGTAGATTATTTACAAATTTTTGACCTGAAAACTTGATCGCAAATTAGCACCACCATCTGGATATAGAGCAGCAGTAGCACTGGGCCACTATGATAGTAGGATAGTGTTGTTGAACACCAGAAGCTAGAAGTTTAACCATGTCCACTAATGTATGGTAGCAGAACCTCACAAAAATGCCTCATTTATAATCATATATTTATGTGAAGGTTTCCAAATGTCAGCATGTATCCCTCCTTTGACACAAAGCATATATCCTGTGTTTCAGCAAGTAATATTTGTATAAATATTATTGTGGTGCCTTTACAGTATTTTTATTCTTCAGATGTATTAAGTCCATTCTTGTAACGGCAGCACTTCACATAAAATACATTTAGGATTGTTGGTTAAATATTGATAACAAATGTTAGTTAGCTTTCTTTGGATTACACTCATATTGAAGAAAATGTATAATAATAATGATGCCCGGTCAACTTTTTCCACATTATATTTTAATTATAATTCCGAAAAATATATCAACAATTTTCATGTCAGAAGTATTGAGTTTGTAATAAGTGTTAGAACTCACCACTACAGGCTTAATAAGAAGGGAACTTACCTTTATTATCATTCTTCTCAGTATTGTCAGTCTGGAAGAGAGACAAACATTTTAGTTAGAAATATTAATGTACAACACATGTTACTTTGGCATTTTCCCAAATCTTAGACATAAACTGCTATTACATAGTTAATATGTATCAATGTATATACAACACTATTGTCAACATAGACTACCAACAGAATATTTTTAATAATGAGATTTGCATTATTTTATGATAAAATAAATACAGTTTTATTAATGAAATATATTTCTATTTAGAAAACAACCAATAACAATAATAAATTAAACAATATACATAATAATCAACCATCTAATCTACTTCCATTAGATATCCATTGGAAAGTTTGGGGGTAACTGTTGGCAGTTTTACTGTAACCCTGAAGAAATAGAAACGTACCTCTTCATTGAGCAGTTCATCTTCACCAAGGTCTAAATTAATGCTGTCTTCTGCATCAGTGTTATTCTCAACTTTACTATCTTCCTCTTTAATATCTTTATCGAGGCAAGGTTTTTTGGGTTCACTTGCTTCGGTTTCCTCTCTGGATTCTCTCTTCCTATTCGTTTTATCATCCGTTTCCATCTGATCTTCCGTTTTTTCTGGGTGTTCACCAGAATTTTCGGGAGTTTCCGCCGGTTCAGTTTCCTCATCGCCGGCATCATCTTGGACAATCATATCCTCCATAGCTGGAGTTTCTTCTGTTTCTTGCTCTGCGGCACTTGCAGATCGCCTTGTTCTTTTTGAAGGAGTTTTGGCTTCAGTGTTTACTTCAAAGTTGAATGTCTCTGGATCGTAGCCCTCCTCTTGCAAATGCTATAGAACAAAAGATTTATAAGAATTCATTACGTCAATGATGTGTAGAATTCACAATAATCATTACTACCTTTGACAGACGTTGTATCAGCACGCCGCGTACGCCACTTTTATCTAGGTTACGCTTCTCTAATTCAGCCCGCAAGTCGATTACCCTAAGGTCGTTTAGTAATCGTTTTTTATCCGACATCGCTGGAAGTTATTTTAGGATGTCTCTATTAATATCCACAAAACTATATTTTTGAAGACGCAAAATGCGCATATCAAGCTAGTTCAGCGTGTAACTAAAATGGCGCCCAGGTTAGTGAGGTTGCACCGATAAATCGAAAAATCAATTATATCGATATCAAAATATCGTTATGTTGAATTCAAGGAAATCGTTTTTATCGATATTGAAAAACCTAAAATATCAACATTTGGAAGGGTAAATTAAAAAACAATAAGACGCGATGTAATTTAAATTAAATTCAAATTATTTACTATTAGCGATTGCTCGCGACTTAATCCACCTTAACCCGCATGAGTTATTAAAGAGATGGAATAAAAAATATTTTGTAGTTTGTCATTCTAACATAATAGTAGTTTATGATACTGTTGCACTTTAAGGGTTCTTATAACATGAGAGTTTTTTTTATAGTATCACACGAGTGTTAAAAGACCAAGTTATGGGGGCCGTTCAAGTATTACGTAAGCAGATTTATTACAATTATTTACCCCCTCCTCCCCCTTGTCAGCAAAAGTAAGCAAAGCTCTTACCCCCCCCCCCCTCCATGCTTACGTAAACATTGGTACGTGTATGCATTTTTCCTTTAATGTATTCTGTTTTTTTATTATTTCATGAGCTTCATGAGCAGCAGTAATTAAATAGGCTTAGGATAGAGCACTTTAATGAACATAATATTAATTTTAATAAATTTTATTGATACTGTATCCAACATAGAGAAAGGTACATAATATATTATAATCTTATTAAGTACTATTACGAACTAAACACACTTCTTTCGAATTTTTGGTATACGTATTAATTCCAATTAACAGTCTTCAGTCCATGGCATCCGAATCCATGATGCTGACGTAATGACTATCTCGACCCCCCACCCCCCCATGTCATCAAAAATAAGCAAAGGGAAGACCCCCCTGCCCCCCCTGTATTTTTTGCATTGTTCATAATATTTCCCAGTAACGGCAAGCACCCATTATACCAAAAATTAGTGAAGTCTGTAACAACTCATATATATATATATATATATTTAGTTAATTAACCGTAATATATCTATATATATATATTACGGTTAATTAACTAAATATTAACAAAAAAATGTACATGGTTAACTGATAAACAACTAAAATACCTTTGTGAAGAGATATAATGTGTCTGGGGCTTCATTTAAGAACTTATTTATCTGCTCTGCTGTAAAAGTCTTGGATTTTTTCCCTTTATATCCTTGTGAGTTTCGTTTCAAAAATGCAATCAGCTTGCTATATTTAGTTATGTCAACTTTGTTGTAAATATTGAGTGTACTTTTAATCATGGAGTATTTAACTTACATACTTGACATTTTATATTTTTCAGATAACTCTTGAAAGTATGCTAACAATACATTTTCAGAAAATGATGTAGCATTTTTATTCATTTTCCATTCCATGAATTCGTGGTAACATTTATTATAGTTGCTCCTAGACTTTGCCGGCAACAGGTTCATGGTCATGTTTGACGCAGCTTCCAGAATGTCTGGTGGTGTACAATCACCACTATCTCCGCTTTCAGACACGTTTTTCCACAAAAACTTATGTATTTTACAATCAAAACCAAACTTTGTTTAAATATTGAAAAGATTTTTTAAATGTCAAATGTTGGCGCCAAGGCGCAAACATCGATTGCGCATGCGTGTTGCGTCGTCGGGGACTCGTTCATTGAAACCTTTTTAAAGTAGAGGTTCAACCTTCTTGGTCCAGCTGGAGGTTGTATAGGTGTATCGTTATGATTAAAAAGTTATATTATGTTACAGGTGTCCAATCAAGACCTGTATGGTAATTAAACTTTTTTTTTTATTATTTTTGGCCTGTACGTAATGTTTGTCATAAGCATTTTGTTTTCAGTTTTAGAATCTTTGTATTATTGTATCAGAGTAGATAAAAATATATTAGACAATATTTTGATCAATACTGGCATAGCGGTTTGGTATTATTCTTCCAAACAGGCAAATGACTTGTTCTAAATTGCCTTTTTATTGCCAACTTATTACATAACTTTACAGTAAAACATATAAATTTAAATATACTTATATATGAATATGCTCCTACACTAGCGGCACAGTTTGATGGCCGTTTCTCAGTTTGTGTGCCCGTGAAGTTGCATATTCGAAATTAGTTCCTAATTTTAAATAATAATTATGCTTCTTTATTGTCATAGACGCGTACTTAGTCATAAAATTTATCGAATCGGTGATTTTTGGGGTATGAAATTAAAATTTTACTAAACACTATTATTTTATACTGTAACTAACTTAAGGTTCCGAAAAGTTTTTAAGTTAAAAACAATTTAATCTTTTATCTATTAGACAAGTCCGTCTGTCTGTGGTGCTGTTTCAGCGGCCAAACCGTAAGAGATAGTTAAAGAGAATATTTAAGTTATAAGTTAAGAATAGTCTGATAAGACTACAAACCGGATTTGAGTAACGTAGCATTTCCGGTTTTCGAGAAATCAGGTTTTGGTGAACATTTGGTTCACTGGTTTGCTTATAATGTAACTTTTAACATAAAATCACCCGCAATTTGATAGAATCTTTAAAGGATTAAGTAATTTTTTTTTACCCGGCTGCGCAATGCAGGAGCGCGAAGCGCGACGCGCAGACAGGGTTATGTGTTTAACAGTCTATATATGTATGTTTGTTCCTTTGTGGCACACTAGAGACCAAACGCCTAGACCGATTTTGATGATTCATACATCAATCGATTCGTCTCAATCATGGGAGTGCTACTAAAGATATGATAGTAATCATAATTCAATATGGGCAAAATTAGGCGCCATATTGTGACGAAGTAAAAAAGAAAAGTTGACAAAATATGTCGAGTGGAGTATCACTGTCTAGATAATCAAAAATCATATTTAGGTTCCTAACACCATTTTTCATTTTATATGATTGTTTAGGATCTACAACGCTTTAAAGTTGTATATTAACCACTTACGCTTTTAATTTCAATCTTACGTTTGTATGGATCTTTGTTACTCTTTCACCTAAAAAATACTGAATGGATTTTAATGAAACTTAACAGTAATATAGCTCACATATGATAATTACATATATATAATAATTTATGTAGTTATTGAGTGAATTGGCCAATACATAGCAATAAGTGTCACATAAGACGGGAAAAAATGTCACATCTGCGAGCCATTTTGGCCTGCACTGCAAAAACAATAAAAGTTACATGAATGTAATGTAGAGTGAAAATGTATCTCTTAAATAGTTCTTAAAGAAGTCCGTGACACCATATATCTATTTCTAATGTGTAAGTCATTACCGCTAAAATAGTGAATCAAAACTAAAATATTATTTGATATCTATTTCCAAAATGCACATTTTGTATTAACAAATCATTTTTTATCAAAACAAATCCTTTAATCGCTTTTGATATTTAAAGACGATAAACTTTGCTTTTTACACTATGTCATTTCGACAAATATTTAAAAAGTTACAATGATGACAAAGTGATTGCGCGGTGTACTATGTAAAATAAAAAAAAGGTGTATTCGCAGTATCTGATCCTATAGGAAGTACTAACATTAAAACTGTGATACAGTTCCTTCTTATTAAATGATGAAAAATATATTATCATAATAGGTATTTATGATTATTGAATTTTAATGAAAAACTCAGAATTTTACTGTTTTTCATTTTTTTAACGATATTACTTAAGGTTACAAAAAAGGTTTACTTAATATAATGACAAATAACCCATTTTTCGCTAGTAAGTACATACTTATTGGAATCCCTGTATTTATTAATCAGCTCGCGATAATATTGGTTTTGTAATAATTCTGCAAAATTCAAAGTAAATAATGTAGATTTTTATAGGTAAATCACCCCTTTCATCACCCTACGCCTATAAGTATTGCGATATTGTAGCTAAGAACCAAGTTCCCATCTACTTCTATATGGGAATTCATTATATTCGATTTAGCTATTAGGGCATGGAAGCGCAACAAACAAACTCACTTTCGCATCTATAATATTATATTATACTTACTAGTGATCCACCCGGGCATTGTACGGGCGAAATTTATTTATCGGGATAAAATATAGCCTATGTCACTCAAACAAAATGTATTTAAATAAAGAAAAATGTTATAATAAATAATGTAGCTACCTTATGATGAATTAATATTTGAAACCGGTTCAGTAGTTTGACAGATTATTTGTTACAAACATACAAATCTTGCCTCTTTATAATATTAGTATAGATAGTTAGGATAAGATAAGTATTTAATTGATGAAAAAGATTTAAAAATAAAGTAAGTAATAGGTTTATTTGTAAAAGTTACTTAGTATTTGTGCTTAACAGTGATACGTTATTCGGTATTTTTATAACAAAAAACAATTGGAAAATAATTGCCATGATTGCACTACTGGGAGTACTCTTCATTCGAGCTTTACACTACCAATAAAAAAGGGTCGAACACAAAGTCTTTGACCTGTTAAATGTGAACGCTTTAAAAGAAAACTACAAAGAGAACTATAAATTGATAATAAATGAGATTGCTATGGTGCTCTACGTAACGCTATGAAAATTTTATTATGCGCCTTTAGTTTAATCAAATATTATAAACTTTGCTTTGGTGATTGCATAATTATTTAATTTAGTGATCTAAGGCAGTTGCCACCATTGTCCAAAACAACAGACGGGAATTACTTCTTTCTTCAACCTGCGACATAAACGTCATTGATTGGTATTGTATATAGGATGATTAAAAACATTTGAAGTTAACTTCTGGCATCTACATATTGGGTTTCTGTGAATTATGTAGGTATATCAAATTATGAGACTAGGGACTGACACTGAATTTGTGTATATCACAATCTTAGACGTCCGGCATTGACATGACAATGCAGCCACTGCCAATTTTAAATAGTCGACGAATAAAAGTAAATGAATTTTATATTTACTGCTAAACTATTAAAAAAAACATAAACAAAAGATGACTTTTTGAGTAAGTGCTAGTTTACTATAAAATTTACATACATTAGAGATATTTATGTAACGACTTGATTTAACTTCACACATTTTTTGCGAAAATTGAGGCCCATCT